CACACACACACACACACACACACACACACACACACACACACACACACACACACACACTATCATTTATTGTCCTCTCCGAGTAGTCGCGCTCTGTTATCACCGTCTGTGATAATCGCCCGCATAGATAACCACACACGCTTACACTACAGCCTTCTCAGTGTTGCCACATTGGCAGATTGTTGTCACGCCCCTTGGACCATTGTGTGGATCGTTTAGATTTTAGTTTAAATTAGAGTTTTAAAGCATTCGCAACTCTATTAGGTCACACAAGTTTCGAAAATTAGATGTGTGTATAGAGAATAACATCCACGGTAAAGAAGGAAGAGAGGTAAGGACGATAGCAGATGTTTGATAGGAAAGAAAGAGCAAACCGCACCAGAGCACCCGTCACTCACCCGCTTGTGTGCATTGTCTAGTTTAGAACCATTTCATCAAGATGTCATAGATTATTTCCGTGGTTTTTAAATTGGATTACGGTGATAGAAGGACGACATAAAACACATTTATTCCTGGATTTACTGGCATACCCTGTGCTTACAGGAGGGGTGAGTATTATGTTAATATTATTTCAAATGAGTTGACGGTCCTTTATCCAGCGCTTGATAACGTTTTATATATAGCCAGTGCCCACGACTTTTGCCAGCTTTAAGTTAGTAAAATTTTCTTTACGCCCACCAATAATGTAAATATCTTGACTTCTATTCAAGATAGATGGGTATTTTAAAAAAAAGTAAGACAGACAAACGCTACCAGCAACACTCCATATACCCCCCCACCCTCCCCAATGACGAACGGTTGATTCCTCCGCGTCGTGACAAATAATAATGAATAATATCAAAGTATTTCGAATCAGGGTATTAAATAGCGCCTATCACTACCCGGAAGATCCCCACCGCCGACCAAAAATTACCAAAATTATCCACTCGGAAATGACATTGCTCAAGTTGGCAAGCATTGGCTTGTACTTGTATACAACATATTAATAACAAGATATCATTAATTCTTTGCGGGATTTTTTTTTATTGGGTTATGTGGTTGAAAAAGAAATAAATGGTATTGGTTTAACGCCCCTATCAAACCTATTAGGTTATTTAAAAGGTGGGGCCTCCAAGGTTAACGCCTGTCTCCAAAGGGACAGAGCCAAATGGGAAATTCGTGTAAAGTGTCTTTCCCAAGGACACAACGTCGGACCGAGCTGAGGCTAGAACCCCCAAACCCACAATCTGGTTATGAGGTTAAATATGATAAATAAAGCACAAGTCCTGGATTTACTTGTTTATTCATTGTTTGCCGGAGAGGTGAGCATTAATTTGTTAATGATTTAAAAGAACTGATAATCCTCTTAACATTGAGGCACTTGGTGAATTTATAAATCAATGTATCGAAATCGTCCAAGTCAGAGTTGGTCAAAAATGGGCGGTATTGCCTGCTAGTGGGTGATTTGCTCATTTTAGTGGGTTGTATGGGTCATCCGGGTAGTGACAGATGCTATTTTAAGGCACTGTTTAGAAATGCAGGTAGGCCTACATGGGAGGTGCGAACATTTGATTTTCTTTAAGGTGGCAAAAGTGGGCGTTAGCTACAAAAAAGATTAACAAGCGCTGCTTTAAAGGCACTTGTTGAGATTTTTTTTCTTTTTAGGTCCTATCAATTAAGGCCTATCAACATTTTCTTGGTAGTCAAAATGACATTTCGCTACTCTAGGATTAAGAAGTTCTGTCTGGCTTTTGCGGGTGGGGGGGGGGGGGGGGGGGGGGGGGGGGGGGGCGTTTTGAGTTGCTGAGGGTACCATGGGGTCAGACACCAAATGTTTTATCTTCTCCATCAAATTGTAAAATCAAAGAGAGTCGTTATGAAGGCAATAAAAATATTGCATTCGAAAAAGCATAGGCTTAAAATGTTTGTGAAACTCAATTTTTTTGGGACGTCACATTTCTCAAAACTAGGTAGGCTACTGAACAGATATAACTACGTAATTCTAAGGTAGCTATTTGTTGGTAAACATTTTTTCTCAAATGTCTCTCAAATCTCTTCGTCTTTGGGCTTATTATTTATTGTTGTTGTCCTTTCATTCTCTTCCCATCAGAGCTAACAGCCATTTGCTGAGACTGCCACGTCCTTGTCAGTGGTAACTTTGATGACCATGGCATTCTGAGCTTTCTTTATGTAATCATCAATTAATGATATTCACCGAGTTCCACCCCCAACCCGACCAAAAACAAAATTAAACAAAACATTAAAGCTATTTAAACATCAAAGCAATATTATTTATACCAAGCGATTGTTATCAGATTTTTAAAAAATCACAATAAACGAATACTTTGTTGTTGAAAAAACATCCCAAAACCTAGCACACCACCTATCTTCTAGCCCCTG